CAAATAATTTTATTTATCTCTTTTTTTTTTCCACAACATTCACCAAAATGTTGTCATGCTTCAAATCACAATTTGGAATATACATGTTATGCAAGCAACACATCCCTTTTGCAATGTGATACATGATATTAATAATAATAATAAAAAAATACTTCTCTATTTGTTTCTAACATATTCTTTAGATTTGTTTGCATAAATTCCATCCCTAAATATACATGATTATTCTTCATTTTAGATGAAGAATATCTACTATTTTCATTTAAAATACTTTTTATTACAAAATAATATGATATTAAATCGAGATGGCTTAGACTTGCTAACATGATTGCTTCTTTTATAAAAAAATTTATATGCACATTTTTCATCTTTTTGGTTGCATACAAAAGTTCAAACCACTTTGATTTATGCATTTCTCTATAGGATCCTTCACCTATGAGTTTTATGAAATCAACACTTTTAATATGTGAAGATAGTTTCAAATCATCCAATTCTCCATCTTCTATGTAATGCAAGTCTATCAATCTTTGCAATAGATGCTTTGCCAATTCATATTTTTCAAATTTTATTTCTTCATTTGAAAAAATCAATCTTTTATATAAATGTCTTTCATCACCTTCTATTTCATCATTGATTGCAATACCAAAATTATCAAATATTTTTTCTATAATTATTTTATCAAAGTGCTTCAAAACGAAAGTAGTTGATACTTCATAACAACACTTCAAATCCAAAAGTAGTTCTCTAAATCTCTCTTTGTTCTTCAATTGAATCATTGTTGCTTTACACCATTTTTTTTTTCTACAATTCTTTATCAATAAATAAGTCTTATTTAATATAATTAATAACTCCTTCAATAATTCTTCATACTCCAATCCATCTTTGCTACAAGTCATCAAATAGTCATACACCTTCTTAACGTGTTTGATATTCTTGTATAAGATTGTACATAATTTTTGTTCAATATGTCTTCTTTCCTCAATAAAACCATCAATGCTATAATATAGGCTTGATATTCTCTCCAAATATTTCCACTAATATCTTCTATATTTGATATTTTATCAATATCTTGTAAATAATTATTAGATTATTTTATACTAATTAGATATCTTTCTTCTTATACACATAATACGGATCTTAATACCAAAAAATATTTCTTGTTCAATTCCAAAAGATATGCCATGTTGACTTGCCTACAAATTTTTCAATATTCAACTTGTTGACACACATTCAAAATTGTACATAAGATTTGTTTTTCTCATTAATATATTTTATATTCTCCTATCTAAATTGCTACACCAAGCATATCATCTTCTGTCCTATGCAATACATGTATCACTCTAACAATACATCTTTAGCCTTAAAAAATCTTAAACCTAATATTCAATCATTACATATATATCAAAATAGCTACTCTAATCTATAACAATAATATAAACCTTATTAATATTACAATTCTACTCTCAATTCTAACTTAAGTTTAACAAATATTTTAATCTACATCTTTAATAGCCACTATCTAAAAAATTCAATATATAAATATATACTTTCAAACATAAGTAAAGAAATAAATTAATAAGTCATAAACATGCTCAATATACTAAACTAATGCCATGCAATCCTAATATTACATGAAATTATTACATCATTATTAAATCCACATCCTAATCTATTCTTCCAATTATTATATCTCCACTCAATACTATCCTCTCTCTATTTCATTCAACCTTCACAATCTTAAAGTAATAAATCCTATTTTCAAACAAATCCTAAATAATCTCTAGTAACCATTAAACCATATACAAATGATACGCAAATCCTACAATAGCAAAGCTTATGTCAAAATAAACCCTAACCAATCTTAAAACAAACAAACATCCTAAATCCACATCCAAATCCTAACAAACATCCCTAACAAACATTAACGAATTTTACAAATACTAAAAATATTTGCCCTTAAACAAAAATCTGATAATCGTTTCTGATAATCTTAATAACTTCTTCACAAAAATCATAATAATTTCTTAAATATTCAAAAAAAAAAAAAAAAAAATCACAAATTAGATCATTGTATCAACTCATTCCTACAAACTCATAAATCTACTTTGTCTCTCTTTTTTTGACTTTGATGCTCCACTTATTTAACGCTTACAATCTACATACCACATCCTATTTGCTTGAGGGCCTCCTTTCACTCCGGCAGCCGCTCCAAACACCTCAATGCTTGCATTTCCACGACCTTTAGCTTGTTGGAACCACTACTCATGCGGCTTCAGTGAAACAAAACATTGACGACAATCTGACAATTGAGCTCTCACAACCGCTCCTCCTAAGTTATGTGATCCAAACTCCCCAGGCCTTATCATGCTCGTTACTTAATTTGTTGCCACAAATTCCTCTTAGTTCCTACTTTGATGATTATAATCTTTCCTTTCCTAGAAGCTAACATCAATTAGCTCCTACCTTCAGAAATTCCACTCCCAAATTCCTAGATCCAATAGACTGATTGAAAATATCCAACGCCCTCCAACAATGAACCTATTCACAATGGATGGCTAATCTGTATTTGACACTCATACATTGTTCTATCTAGGCTCTTGACAACAACTAATGACGTTCACATTAGCACAAAGCACTAAGCTTGTAGAAGAATTCTCGACATTTGAATTACAATATTCAACTTGTGTAGTGTATGCATTCAATGCCAATCTAACCAGAATGCTCGTACTACCACTAGAATCATGTATGTTGGAGCTTCTAAATGACTCAAAATCCATGGCTCTAGAATTCAATGGCTCCTACTTGCACCTCCAAAAAATTGCCCACCACAACACTAGTTCCCAATTTGTCCGGATTCAAACACGACAATGTGAGACTGCACTCTAAGCTACCGTTCGCAGTAATAAACCTCTAATCATGTCCTTAGGGTCACAGATTTTGGCCGAGGACGTCCATTGCAGCAACGATACCAGGAGAAAATCTAAACTTCGGCATCCGCTTCAATTAGAAGCCACCAAAACCTCGAACCTACATGATAAAAATCAAATGCCTGCACGTTAACTTCACACAACCGCACTGAAGAGCGCGACGCACTCACCTCAAAGCGAGGAGTCAAAACCCTACGCTTCCGAAATTGCTTGCGTTCCTCGACCTCCCCTCCCAGCGCAATCCACCTCACACCTCCCCGCCCCACTCTAACAAAATCCTAGAAATGCTCCCATTCCACTGCCGCGACGAGAAGTCACACAACGGCATCGGTAGTACCAGTGCCCTCGAATCGTCGTCTCCGTGGCGATGAACTCTTGTTCCGTTCCCTTGTTTCCTTCCTGGAGCCCTGGAATGTGCTCTACTCTCAGCCTTGATCGATCGAGGCCTGCCTGGGTTCCTTTGCTCCTCCCGGGCTCTAGATGCTGTGGGGCCTTCCAACATAAGCACCTTGGGCGACAAACTTCCGCTCGAACTTGTCAAGGAACTCCAGATACAACTGTCAAGTAACAATTTGAAGTCATAATCAAGCAGACAGATCTGACTCAGTAAACTAAGTTCTACAGGGTAATAGAGAGCATCAAATGATGAGGAGCTTGAGTATGTAGTATGCACCTGATTGGACACTTCGGAATGATCCTCTCGAGTCATCTCCTGTCCTATAGCACTCTGCAAGAGCAAACTAACTTCATCAGCATAAGCAATGCGATAGCTGAATTCTCGGCTGGAACGTGCTATTGTCTATGTTGACACAAATCCAACAACGAGTAGATAAAAAAGTAGGTCGTACAAAAACACAAAGACGCCATTGTGTATAGCATAAGGTTCACTCTGTAACTTGAAACATGTACTGGGCACGAATAATTATACTGAAGAAAAAGAAAACGTTGGTAATAACAAACGCAAGGATATAATATAAGATCGCACCTTCATCAATCGCGACAGAGATGGCAGCAAATTGATAGGTGGGTAGATCTGCATCATGATCATTACATTAGATCAACTACAGGTTTACAATCTTCCATCACTAACGATTAAATGGGAAGAATTATCTCCTATGATGAAACTGGATGCAAAAATATGAGCACTTATAAGCCTGGTTCGAAGTTAGAACCAATACCTGTCTATTTTGTAACTGCCGATCCACGGAAATTTGACCTTCTGTAATGTAATCTATGAGATCAGGAATAGGATGGGTAATATCTGCAGAACGTACGACAGAGACGAAACTCAGTAACCTAAAGAGAAAAAAAAAAAAAAAAAAAAAAAAAAAAAAAATCATAATTCAAAGTAACAAATTAAGGCCTGTAGAAGGTCAAGCAAGGACAGAAACAAAGCATCAAATTAGCGTAGTTCTCCATCACTAAGTCCACTAATATGAGAAATCAGTGAGAAATTGAGGATTCAACTAACCATCGTTAGGCATAGTTAGAATGGGAATCTGAGTGATAGACCCTTTGCGGCCCTCAATTCGCCCGGCACGTTCGTAAATAAGTGGCAAGACCTGTGTACATGTAACCAGGATATCCACGACGCCCAGGTACTTCTTCACGAGCTGCAGAAACCTGTTTGCATTACTAAACCTTATCTTTATCAAAAATTTATATTCTCATAGTTGAGTCTTGTTTAATAAACATATCCATTTAGTATCTACTAAACCACACTCGCACAATGCCAACCCACTCAACACCCTGAATCACCTTGCAACACCAAAATTGAGCACAATACCGTCGGTAGGACCCAGCGAACGAACAAACTTCATTCCAACCGAAAAAAGGAATTCCGTCGCCGACACGACGGCGGCGACGAAGTACCGACGGGGAACGACGACTCGTTCCCTTGATCCCATATGCCAGCTCGGACCTCGACCTCTGTTAGATCAGTGGTCCTCACAGACGGCCGGGATTACTCCCCGTGGCACAATCGAACACAGCGGGCAGAGAGCAGTGCCATGCCAGGCCGGGTGAGGGGTATCTATGCTGGGCCCTGGCCAGCCCTGCCTGGGCTCTGTGCGCTCCACATCTCTCTCGCTCTCTCTGTCTCTCTGCTCTCGCTCTCTCTCACTCACTCACTCACTCACTCACTCACTCTTTCTCTGTTTCTCTCTTTTTTTCTACTTCCCTCTCTACTTCCCTCCCCTTCATTCCATTTTCCTTTCCTTCCCTTTCCTTTTGCAAGCGGCTCTGCTGGGTGCCGCTGCAACTCCTCTTCTCTTCCTCCTCTCTCTCTCTCTCTCTCTCACAGCCTCATATTGGCACAAGGGCCATTTTCTTCCTTGAGCTCATTTCCTAAAGAATCTCTCTCACTCTCACATTAACACTTACCTCTCGTGGGGAAGGAAGGAAGGAAGGAAGGACGAAGGAAGGAAGGCTTCGGGACCTGGCCATCCATCTCGATCTCGAGGTGGGAATGCTTTTTAGGGTTTTGGTTTTGACTTGGTTGTTGAGGGTGGGTAGTTTTTTGGGTGGGGTTTAGTGTGTAGGGTATGTAATTAGACGGGGAGCTTATTTTTTCTAAAACTCAAAAGTAGAGGAGAGAACTAATTGGATTTTTTTTGTTTTTTGTTTTTATTTTTATTTTATTTTAGTGTTCATCTTCTCTTTGTTGCGCTACGGAAAATTGGGTGGACACTGTTTTGAATTGATAATTTTTTTGAGTTGGTTTTGTGAGGGGGTGGTTGATAGGTGCATTTTAGGGTTGTTGTTGTTGTTGTTAGTTCTTGAGGTTAAGAAGGATTGAATCGGATGTGGTGAGACATTTGTAGGGTAGGTTTGAGGAGCGTTGAGAAGCTTTGAGTTAGGGTTGAGGGAAGGTGAGAATGCTGAAGGGTGGGGTGTAAACGATTTTGGGATACTGCGAGGGGGGAATAGCAGCAGGTTGGTGTAGTGGGCTTTTGCAGGTCTAAGCGGTAAGGGAAGGGAGGTGTAGCGGAGTTGAGATCCATACTGAGGAGCAATTTACTAGGGACGAAGTGAATTGAACGGGTTTTTTTGCTTGTTTTTGTCTGGACGGAGTTCTGCAATTCCGTCACAGTTCGATGTTGATGAATCTGCAGTTGTGTTCCCTTCTATGTCTCTGACATTGATCGATAGATGCTGTTTTTGCCTTAATGGCAATGATCTGCTGCACCTGTGCGCACAAGTAAGTGGAGCGAGTAAAGCTGCAGTTGTCTGACATCTTTTTGGCTTCTAGAGGTGCAGCAGTCTTCTTGTGGAGGTTTAAGAAGCATTTTCTTACACCTTCTGCGAGAAGTGAATATGTACAAAGAACGGAGCTCATCTCTACCATCAGAGGCTAGAGGTGGGAATGTGAGAAACGAACAGCAATTATATCGAGACGTGACTGACAACAAGAAGCGATTAGAGGATGGTATTGATAAATCCTCTCCTTCCACCTCAAGAGGAGGAATCGGCAGGGAAAAGGATCGAATAGCTGCTCCCGCCGCTACGACTCAATCTCGTCGGAACGCTGGACATGAGACGAGACCCACCATGGAGAAGGCGAAGTATCCAGAGGATGGTGAGTTTCTCTTATGCAGACTACCACTAGAACAATTACCAGTCTTGGCTGCTCGTATGTATTAGAATGATCCATCTGCAATTCTCTCCCTTGTTTTATTCTTTGGAATTTGCACTTTTGGTCTCCGCGTCGTTCCGCTGATAAGTTCGGACTGAAGACCCTGCAGATGACACAGGTCTTCCTTTCTTTCACTTCATGACCCATTGAACATTCTTAAAAATGTCCGCCCTATGGTTTGGGTTTTAGTAATGGGTTAAGAAACCTAAAGGTTATTGCTCTCACTCACTCCCTCTCTCTCTTAAAGAGAAGCAGAGGAGTGTATTCCATTTATAGCGCTCTGTGTCCCTTCTGCGTTGAGAGATATGGTTGGCCAATACTTCCTGGCAGATTGTATTTGGCCTCATCAGGCTGTATGCCTTAACTATATATTCTGACATTTCTCTTGCCCACTTTATTGGTCCACAACGTTATGCTTCTCTCAACATCGTAAATGTGCAGTCGTCTCGTTTGTCCACTTCTGATTGGATGCGAATTGTTGTTGTAGTCGCAGCAGAAGACTCAGAATCAGAAAGCGAGGATTCTGATGTGAGTGCGTCAGACGGGGAGGATACTTCTTGGATCTCCTGGTTCTGCAGCTTGAGGGGCAATGAGTTTTTCTGCGAGGTTGATGATGAGTACATACAGGATGATTTTAACCTAAGTGGCCTGAGCAGCCAAGTTCCCTACTACGATTATGCACTTGACTTGATCTTGGATGTGGAATCCCCTAGTGGTAAGTTTTGCACTGCCATCCAACATGCGTATGGATTTTTACTTAAGGAGTCACGAGTTCTGCATATGTTTATTCTTTTGAGTGCGAGGTCGTCCGCTGTGCTGTAAATCCATCTTCGGTTAATATCATAACGGGACCAGCATACATCTTCCATACATTGTATTTCCAGATTCTACCGGCGCAACCCTTACTGCATGTATATTAGCATATTAAAGTCTGCAGCTATCGTTCAGGTGGAATAGTCAGGATTGTTCGATGCAGCTTACTCGCAGTGATAAAGTTGTTGATGTGTGAGTCTCTACGTACCTTTCCTGAACAGAAATTCATATTTTCTGTTTTTACACATGCAGATGACATGTTAACTGAGGAGCAGAATGAATTGGTAGAATCAGCTGCCGAGATGTTGTATGGGTTGATTCACGTACGCTATATTTTAACCGGCAAAGGGATGAATGCAATGGTAAGTGAGCTATGTTGATTTATTTTTTGGCATTCTGCATCCCTGCATTTTGATAAATTGTAGTAGTTATGTGTGTTACCCTAGACAAATTAATCACTCTTTCGTGTGTGATCTGCTTTAATCCTACATTGGCGCGCAGCTTGAAAAATTCAAGAATGTGGACTTTGGTCGCTGTCCTCGTGTTTACTGCTCCGGACAACCTTGCTTGCCAATGGGTCAGTCCGACGTTTCCCGAACAAGTACTGTGAAGATATATTGTCCAAAGTGTGAAGACATATATTACCCTCGATCTAAATATCAGGGCAGTATCCTTTTCAATTAAAACATTTGTTTTTGGTTGACTGTCGTTCTGTGCCTTATTGTGATCAGTCATGTAATTCATCTGGTCACGATCTTTTTGTTAAGAAATGTTTCAGATTGCTTAAAAAATATTAAAAATTTAAAACATTACTTTCTAGGCGTGGGTATCTAAATTGAAAGGGGGGGGAGGGGGGGGGCACTAGTTTAAGTCGTGTAGAATTATTTATCTGGATTTGTTGAGATGGTTATCTTAACATTAAGTACAGACATTGACGGTGCTTATTTTGGCACAACATTCCCTCATCTTTTCCTCATGACTTACCCCTACATCAAGCCTTCGAAGCCCACTCAGAATTATACACCCAGAATATTTGGTTTTAAACTACATAAGAGTGCAAGGTAGACCTTCGGCGTTTACGCTTTGTTGCATTTGCGGCGACGGATCGATCAGTGAACCGCACTGTATGTGCCTAAGAGAAATTTGGTTCCAATCCGGAGTTTGTGGAAGAGATATTCACTGCGTAATACATTGCAGAGATTTTGCAATAGCGGGCTGGAATATACTTGTGATGCATTTTGGATGAGGTGTTCCACGTCTGCTTGATTTGGCTGAAGTCGCTTTGTTTTGATTGTTTTAGATAGGAGAATTTAGTGTTTTCTGGGGATGTCAAATTGACTGTAGTGTCTTTTCTTTTTGTGGCGTGTTAGGAATCAATTCCTTGTAGAGAGCACCTTGGGATTCGCGTCACTGTAAACGATACCTTAAAGATTACTGTGCATCATTAGTGCTAATATTGAGGTAATTATGATTAGATTGAGATTATCTTACGAACCAGGCAATGTAAATGAAGTGAGACACATTGTACTATTTGATATGTCTAATCATGGGTTAAAATTTTTGATGGGGTAGAAGTTGATCATCGTCCTACTGTGATGTCTGAGATAATGTTCAGTACCTTCAAGAGAAGCAAAGTCTTACCGTAGACAGTATGTCCTGAATCAGAACGTAACTCAGGATTGTGGACCTCTGTAATTCCCATTACCCAAATCCATAACACCCTGGACCCACTCTACTTATTCCTCCTAGGAACATGAGTGCCTGTCTGGGATTTTCCATCAACTTTGGCCAGGACAGAATGAAGTCAGTACATCTTCACTGGCAATTTATCCTAGAACAGGTTGACTACTATCAATGAATGGTGCTGTATTGTTAGCTTTTACTGTGAAGTTTCACAACTATGCGTATTTACAAGAGTGATGTGCACAACTGTGAGTAGGAAAGGTAGATATCCAAAAGAACCTACATTATGTAGAACTTTTATCATCCATGTTGGATAAGTGTGCTTTGGAGCATTGGATCACGTCGTTGTAAAACCTAATGTGTGTCAGTGTAGAACCTGCATTTCCATCACAATTGTCAAATTTCAAGTGGATGGCAACCAAAAACATCTTTCAGAAGTATCCTAATTGTAGTACCATATTCATTTTAAAGACCTTAACCAATACATTTAGTGAGCTTAGTTGTTGATGAGTCGTATTTGAGTTAATGCACTCGACACGAATGAAGAGGAATCCACATCAGAATGCTACACCCACCTGATAATTTACCCTCTGAAAGCGAACGATTGGATCAGATTTTCATCGTTTCTCAAACGTTCCAAGAGAGGAACTAGCCGAAGAGCATCCACGAAGCCCTGAAAGTGTAGTTACCCCACCAGTAAACCATCTCTGTGGAAGTAAAACGAGAGTGGATCGAGGCCGTAAACGATTGACTTTCTTTAAAATAGACGTTTTCTAGATGGGCCAATCCACTCAAAATCCAAACGTTCAGTCGCAGCCAATGGTCGACGTCTCAATGCTTGTGATTGCGTTTCGATGTTCGTGAATCCAGCACAGCACCCCTTGTATAAAAAACTGGTGTCATACCTCTCTTACCATTAAGCTGTGTTAGCGTCCTGTCAACTAATTGCGAGTCGGTTAGTCTGCTAATCGCTATCTGCAGCCATGGCCACCGCCGCCACCGCCATGAACTCCACCGTGTTGGCTGGGCAGGCCCTGCTCAAGCCAGTGAGCGAGCTCTCCAGGAAGGTGAACGCTGGCGAAGCCCGCGTCACCATGCGCAAGACCGTCAGCAAGTCCTCTGGCAGCGACAGCATCTGGTGAGTTCCGTTTCTGCCTTTGCAGTCATCTGACACATACTCCCTCTGCATTACAATCGTAACTGATTTCGGAAAAACTTTGTACACAAGTTAATTGGTGACTACTACTCCACTCTCTTAGGATCAGCACAGTGTAGATTGGGTTTCAGTTTCACTCCTTACGCTCATTGTCAGAAAAACAGAAAAAAGGAAACGCTCATGTTGACGCCATTGGATGTCTAGGTATGGTGCTGACCGACCCAAATTCTTGGGCCCCTTCTCTGGCGAGACTCCCTCCTACCTCAACGGTGAGTTCGCTGGTGATTACGGCTGGGACACTGCTGGACTCTCATCCGACCCCGAGACCTTCGCCCGCAACCGCGAGCTCGAGGTGATCCACGCTCGATGGGCCATGCTTGGAGCTCTGGGATGTCTGACCCCAGAGTTGTTGGCCAAGAGCGGTGTTAAGTTCGGTGAGGCCGTTTGGTTCAAGGCCGGAGCTCAGATCTTCAGCGAGGGAGGTTTGGACTACTTGGGCAACCCCAGCCTTGTGCACGCTCAGAGCATCTTGGCTATCTGGGCTTGCCAAGTTATCCTGATGGGAGCCGTCGAGGGTTACCGTGTTGCTGGTGGACCCCTCGGTGACGTTACTGACCCCATCTACCCGGGAGGCTCCTTCGACCCCTTGGGTTTGGCTGACGACCCCGACACCTTCGCTGAGTTGAAGGTGAAGGAGATCAAGAACGGCCGATTGGCCATGTTCTCAATGTTCGGGTTCTTCGTCCAGGCCATCGTGACTGGAAAGGGACCCCTGGAGAACTTGAACGACCACTTGGCCGACCCCGTTGCCAACAACGCCTGGGCCTACGCCACCAACTTCGTTCCCGGAAACTAACTTCTCAATTTGACGAAATGAAGTCGAAATGTGTACTATAATGTGCAGTTCACTATCCTCTTGCTCCTACTTCGGCTGATAATAAAAATCGATTTCTGACAATTCTTTACTCGTTCTTGCACACTTTGTTGGTCTTCCATTTGATGAGAAACAGCACTATTCTTTGGCCTGTAACAAATCACTTACAAAATTCTTAAGTACCTTCAATCCCCATTCTATGATGCATGTTTTACTCATAACTACTCTTATCAATCTACCGTGCAAACTACTAACCGCACCGCTACAGTCATCAATATCAATCAAACCCATAATCCTCATCAGGGAAACATATTCTTCAATTCTATACATAAACTCTGTCCAAAGAAACGGATATGAAATCCTCTACAATACTAATTCTAGGATACTTACATTCTGGAAGAAGAAAAATGTATAAAAGGCATAAACAACATACCACATCTCATCCAAGCAGCTGGCACCTTCTACTCCATGTAGAAAGATGGTACAGATCATTGCTGCACATTGTCAGTTCTAATTGAGAATAGGTGTCCATTTTTCTTTTCTACCATTATGAAAAGTAACCACTCATCATTATACTGGATAAAACTCTGTGCAAATCGACATAACTGGGTACAATCAGAATACAAGTTGTAAGCTATCTACATTCTACATGATAAATAAAGTGTAGAAAAAAGCTTCTCCCTGTACCTCATCTGATCAATTGAATCATCTGCAACTTAATGAAGAAAGATAGTGAACATAAATTCTGCACATTGTCAATTGTAATGAGGAATACGTATATGACTTTCTTCCATTATCAAAATTATATCATAGCGTTCCTGGTTTTCGCACTACCTCCTCCCATCTTTCCTCCCACCGATTGCGTAAGAATTATTCAACAATTTGGTTGTTTTGAGTAATGCACCTTCCTATTACAGCAAAGATAGAAAAGAGGATAGGTAGGTACGATGCTGGACGGTATATTTGATGACGGCTTTTCACATAATGCATTTGATGTTAATGCTGTGTACACAAATTTAGATATGGATTGTACAAGTACATATCTTGCAAAACGGATTAGGTTATATTAAAAATTCTAAAGTCATATTGCCATATAACAATTTGTATAAATGGCAAAGGGCAACTTAATGGGGACTGTACGGCCTACATACACCTGATACTAGTCTATTCATCTACGAGAATGCAATTCTCCGCTTGTAGCATGGCTTAAGTCTGTCCCGTCCTTCGACACGTTTACTTCGCCAATGCAGCTGCATCTCTGTATTGCTTCCGCATTACCTTCTTGTACTCTGCATTTAAATGTCCCCAAACAATACACAAGAAGTTGTGGGTCTACTGAGATACAAGCTCACTCTTGTACAACCTCAATAAAAAAATATCAAGAACAACTCCGATGGTTTTCAAATAGCCCACAGCTTACTACTCACCTTCTTGGTCGCTCCATAGTGCTGCCGCATAACTATTGAGTGGACTATCATTGTTCGGCTCTGTAAATGTCATCAAATTTCTCAGTGAGCGCCGGATAAAGCTACATCCTTGACAACAACTGTAAGCAGTTTGACCTAAGACAGTCTTGGGAGCAGCACGTACCGCCTAGCAAGCTCTGTATAGAGAGAAGCACTGTTCGCACGTCATAGGCCGAGGACCACTTATCCTGAGAAACAAGCGGAGATGTATCAGAAACCAACCGCAGATAGGCCCAACCAGTCAGCTAAACCAAGATTGAGGGCATTTTACAGTGAGGGAAGGTGTATACATACCTGTAGGATGTCGAGACAGATATTACCGAATTGGTCCACATTCGGATGGAAGCACAGCGTATCGAATTTAACTACAGGTGGCTTGAAAGGGTAATCCGTAGGGAATTTAAGAGTTAATTTGTAAGATAAACCTTCATAGACAGTGCCGTTGCTCCCCTTGATTGTGCCAATCCACGAGAATATGTTATCACCCTCCGGGAAAGCTGAAATCCCAGGATCACCGCTCATCTGCACAATCACAGCGATACATACTCAGATGTCGGAGACAAACAATCCTCATACAATGACTATTGTGTCATTAGAGACTGAAAGCTCCACTGAGCTGCTACAAGTAGGCGTCCAAGATGACTATTAGATTCGAATCTGACGAGAGGAGTTTCCAGCTTAGTTCGAACAGCAGCTCATACACACAAAATCAAAGTTGAAAATTTGTAGAATCGCGTTCTCAGAACTCACTCACCATAAGAGACATCAACTCAGATTGCAACCTGCACAAGGTAGCAGAGGCAGGGTTCGCTAAATCAGAATCAAGAGGTGCATCAACGAAGTCATTCGACAGACGTCAACTGTACGTCAACTAAGACTCTGCTGTACGTGAGCTTGGGGAAGTGCTTGACTGAACACCGCGTTGGATGGCACATAAAGGTCATATCAACAGCATGAACAGCGACATCGTGTCGGAACGAAACAGATTTTTGAGTAAGACTAACACCTGGTTTTCCTACGAGCGGTGCTGCGGAAGGGAAAACCATCTAGTCGATCGATATCTACCAAACATGGAACCCAGGGAGCTACAACGTTAAACATCCAAGGTTAAGCAAGCACATAGAGACTCAGGGTGATAATGGAGGCTAACTGCGCAGGCAAAAGTCACCTGCGGGAGACAGAGTGACTGTCCACGAGCTGCGACGCGGGCTTCGGCAACTTCCCCGCAGCGGGCTGGACAATGCTGCTGCTATGCTGTTGCACGTCCTGAGGCAAATTACCAGCCATGATTTCCACAGTCCTCACAAACAGGAAGAGCCCCCCCGAATATCGGTCGTCTTCTATTAGTCCCTACCTCCGGCAACACGCCAACAGCACCAACCACAGACCAATCGAAATCCGCGTTCACACTCCACACTCACTCGCTGGCAAGGTCTGGGGCACAACAATGGCGGATGAGTCAAGAAGTGGAGCATGAGCACAAGGGCAAGACAGATTGAATGGTTGCGAAGCGCAGATCGTGAAGATCTCGATTCGAAGCGCAAAAAAAGCGAGTAGCCCTGCGAACAAACAAAAGCCGGTGTGGATTGAAGTAGAGATCAGCGCAGAGATCTCGAGTAAGCTGCTTCCATCGGTCGAGGGGGAGGGGGGATTTAGAGCAGCGAGCGGGAGGTGAAGGGGCGGAGACCGAGACGGAGGCGCCAGGAGCTCGCAAAGAGCGCATTCCAAAGCTCGACAAGAAGCGGCGGGTCCTCCCATTGTTCGGACCCCAAAACATCTGATCTGGCATGTATTCTGCCGACGTGGAGACCGACGTGGCCGGTTTCTCCAGGTCTGCTTGCCCCCTGGGAGCGTGGTGGGAACGGCTGGAAATTCTTTCAAATCCGCAGGGGAGCACCGTAAGAAACTCGAGAACAGGCTGGCCGTTTATATGACTGTTGTAGCGCGGAAAGCATTTGAATTTCAAATGCCGTTTTCTGATAATGTAGGCGCCACAAGTGACCTGCAGTTTCTGAACACCTTGATATGCCTTTCAGTGCCACGAATCAACGGCGACGATACACCGTTCAGTGTTTAACGCATCCGATGCCCATGTTAAGTAAAATCGAACATTTGTACTCCTTGTAAACACAACACTGCGAGGAATGCATTGCTACATTGCAACAGTTAAGTTCCTTAGAAACACATATAAACCCATCATTCAATTATTAGAGATTCACAATTTTCTTGTATTGAGACTTGACTTTGACTTGTTCCAAGTAAGCTCATCATTTAATGACAGCGAATTTTGGAATCCATTAGATTGATGATTGACTCAATCCATCGTGTGTTTTTTATGACGTGTGGTTTACTATTACCGTTATTATTGTATCTTGATCACAATAAAATATCACTTCAAATTATGTGTCGACCACTGACCTAAACGTAACAAAATGTAAAGATCGCTTTCGTAAATTATGACATGATACTTGAGATAAATTAAGTATGTTCTACGATGTTCAAACTTGCATTTCGAGATATAATATGTTTCCTTAGTTTGGTTTCATCACTATGCAATAAAATCTATAACTCAACCCATAAGTCAAACCTACAAGTGACATTTTCACAGTTGTATCATTGTATTTTGATATTCAGGTCCTTCATGTATTTGTTCAAGCTTTAAAATATGTTTAAATTTATTTCAATGTTTTTTGTTGTTAGTGAATTTTGAAAGTTGCTTGTTTAAAACATCTGAAACTTTGACTATCATTGACCATAAATATTTTGTTAGAAATGTGTGTGTATGTATGTGTGTGTATATATATATATATATATATATTCTCTTATGATTTTTTTACAAAGAAGAACAAAAGTTTTTTTTTTTTTTTTTTTTTTTTTTTCTTCTGAGGTTTGAAATTTATATATACAACTTTTTGCTACAGTTTTAAATGTTGGCTGTATATTATTTTAGCATCATTATTTTTTTAAATTAAAACCATTTGGACGTTTTATTACTTATTCTTGCTTCAAAGAATCAATATCAATAAATAGGAAAATGCATTTTTAAATTAATGTAGTAACAATAACAACCATCGTTTCTCAATTCAACATCAAATTCGATGTTTTTTTTTTTTTTTTTTTTTATCAAACATAGAGTGTCATAATTCCTATGTATTAGAATGCTTTAATTTGTCAATTGCATATTTAAAATTCATATACTGTGTGTTCACAACACTAACTCGTGGGTCAACTTATTTGTCAAATTGCTAAGTTCAATCCACTTTAAAGATCGTTTGTATTATATATTAATTCAAATAAATCTATTTTTGTCAAATAATATGCATTAAGCGTCATTTCCAAGTGCATTGCCGTGCTGGAGTTACAAGCTTAATACAAAGTTGACTCCAGAACCAGCTCTGTTGATCACGATGGATGAATGAAACTCGGAACGGGCTTATGAAAAACTGTGGGTGTGGTAAGTCACCAATTTATGGAAGTTTTCATCCAACAGTTCCGGGATTTCATTCTTTAGGTCAATTGGCTGGGACGGAAGGGTGTCTTCTGTGTGCGGTGAGGGTGTGCGCGAGATCTCGATTGCCGCTATCGTCTCTCAGCACATCGAAAGCCGGAAATGCAAATTCGGCCTCGAAAGGTGACACGGGCACAGCAAAGGAAGTCAGTCATTACGGCAGGAACACCAGTTGTTGATGATGCAACGTCTGTCTGTAATTGCCGATGGTATTTGTGACAGGGTCGACGCTAGTTGACTCTTGCGAACAATGCCGTTGCCGATGTTGTCGTTATGGTTGTTGCTGTTGGAGCTGACCTTTGTGGTGGTGTTGCCAACGAAAGAGGACGTCGAAGTGGCATGGGTCTTCGTGGTGGCGACCTGTGATAACCTCGACAATACTTCGGCATCACCAGAACCGTCCTTCGTTGACATCAATTGGGCGAGAGCTTCAACAGACACAATAGAAAACTTGCGACAAGACTGGGCATTGAGCAAGATTTTTTAAAATAAACATTCATCTAATTCTAAGACTATGATCAAATCTTAATATTTTAGAGTTTGTCTGCTCGTTTTGGTTGCGATCGTGATGTAATTCAAGGATAGAAGAGATACTTGACAAAATTGTGAGAAGGGAGTGAACAAAGGATTTTTCATTGCCTTGCACAAATTACATACAATTGATTAAGTACAATCTGGAGACCTACATAATTATATGGTAATGTACTTGCCATGCAAAGCCCTTGCAATGCAAGAATTAACAGTTAGGTAGAATTCTAATATGAGGTCTCAATCAAAAGAACATTTGAAGAAGAACCAAAACTTTAACTTGAGGTGAAAATTATGATTTAAAGTAACATCACAATTTGTAGAAAGCAATTGGCAATATGAAATATGTTGTAAGATAGTGATTCAAGCATAATAACATATTCAAATTTAGAATAGCATTAATCTTCTATTAATAATTAACTTTAATTGTTACAAACATATTTACTTATCTAAATAAGAAGTATTAGGTAGAAGATATATGAAGGTAGATTTGATAATAACTTATGGAGAAGCTTTACAGAAGCTTATAGATTCAAAATTGATTTTAAATGTGTTTGTATTTGATTGGTAGGTTAAAAACTTGATAAGTTGGACATGTCTCACACATGTTGGTAACTTGTAATATAAGTTGGCCATGTGGTGTATATGGAAGAAACTTGCATTACAAGTTAGTTATATGTTACACATCTTATAGAATGTTGCCGTGTAGCTCCTAGTTAGATAGTATACATGGAAGTAAGACTGAAGCATTTTTTACTCTTATCAATGCCTTTCTTGTTCTTAGTATTGTTTCAAGAATTGTGTCTCGTTGTCTTTGATAATAGCCATTTTAGTTCTAATATATTACTATCTTTAAGTAAATATCTATTTTTTTTGCGTGACCCAAAAGTGTATTTAGGATTTTATTGGATGTGATTCATATCTTTGACAATAGTTGACTTTAACATATTTATTTTTTACTATAGTAAAATTATTTATACTAATTATATTTAATATTTTTTAAAACATAGAATTAACTTTGAATTTAGATTCTTATAAATTTTATAAGTTTATATTTTGATTTATTAGAAAATTGGTTTCACCAAAAAATAAAATTAACATATTTTGAAGATTTTTGAGACAAAAAATTTGGTGAAAAATAATATATTACCAATATCATTTAAAAAAAAAACGTTCTAATAGTTCTATAAAAGCTTGGAAGAAATAATTTAGTACAAGGTGCAAGTTGCAAAATGTTAAACATATAAATCTCAAAATAAATAAATATATATATATATATATATATATATATATATATCCCATTTATTATGGAAATCCAATTGGAATAAATAATCTTCATAGAAAATATTTTTAAAATATCAACTTAAAAATATAATAATAAACTGAATTGGCATTTATGAAATTATAACAATAAGAATGTTAAAAGTGTATTTATATCAAATTAATAGGAAAGAAACTTGAGTAGTAGTTTGTAGACATGTTTTTAAAAGAAAATTTCTATATTATATATATATATATATATATCCAAAATCTAATTCAAATAACAAAACATTGTTTTAGTGACAAATATTGTATTTGAATTGATTCTAATATATTAGAATAATAAAAAAGTGATATAGAGACATAAATAACTTCATAAAATTTATCAAATATACATCAATATTATTATAACAAAAAAGGATTAAATAATATATATATATATATATATATATATATATATATATAAAAGAAATAATTTAATATAAAAATATATATATTACTTAAGTAATCATAAATAAATAGAAATTTATTAAGAAGATAATATTTTCTTGAAGAATCATCAAGATTATTTTAAAAATATAAATTAGATCAAAATTATCTTTTAAATATGATATGTAGACATGATCTAATTTAGACATCACGTATATTAATAAGTCCAGGGATGGTTTAAATTTGGCCTTTTAACATACTAGAAAGCTAAACTACTATACTAACTAATAAGAAAGCTGTATTCAACCTTTTTGTTTTTGACATCATATATGTTTATTTTTATTTACTGATTATCTCTGAATAGAAATGCTTACGTTAGTTTATTAAATATGTGTTATGAATGAATAATATCATAACATGAGTATAAGAAAAACAATTAACTATATTTATTTTTTTAAAAAATTATATTTACTATTTCAATCACAATGACTAATGCAAGAAGCTCAAGCATTGCATAGATATCTTCAACAATTTCATTACTTTAAGTGATTTATAAAAAATTAATTCTATTTATAAAGCATCAAGAATTTATCTTCCAAAAGTTCTTTGATTGTTGCAGATGTACATTTCAAAGTTTTAGAAATCAAATAAAAGAAGTAATTTAAGTATAATTTTTTAGTTATTTAATAAAAATAGTTTCAAAATATTTATTAAAATATTTATTGAATTATTTATTTAAAAATAAAAATAAAAAATAAATTTTTTATAAGATAAATTTGATATATTATTAATAAAAAAATATAATGCACTTTGTATTATAATAATAATAAATAAGTTTTAAATCAAGAAAATGATACATATTAATATAAATTTAACAAATAACAATAAATTAATTATTTTACTATAATCCATTAATTAATTAATTAATATTTTACATATTACTATATGATG